CACTGAATCCCATTCCAGTTAGCTGAGTTCTTATAAAAATGAGGCCTCTCTTGACTAAACTATTCCATATTTGGGATATATCTTATGCATAATCAAAGCATAGAGTGATGTAACCCACTGTTTTGAGTTAAGGCTCATGAAGGAAACATATTCTACAAACCCAGATGCCACAGCACCTGAACTTTACATCATTTCAGCTTGGCTGAGGCATTTAATATGTACAAGAGGAATCATACTATCAGCATCTGAAAAAGAGCATCAAACAAAGGGCACCAATCATGTGGAAGATGGGATCTCAGAGAGATGTGTTTTGCTATGGGAACAGGATCACAGTGAAAGGCTATCTTTGTACAGAAATCACACTTGATGAGAGGGAGAAGGGACAAAAACAAGGTCCCCTGGATGAATTACTAGGGACCGTGTGTGCTGAAGTCAATTTTTTTTTTCTTTACATTTTTGCTCATGGACAGTCTTACATCTGTAAAATAGAAATAAATTCTAAACAACATAATTCGGTTTGCATCATGCCTTAGTTGTTAGTCTTTATTCAAAGTTAAATGAGAAACAAGTTCAGGTAATCAAATTAAGTTTGTACTCTTGATTCGGATTCAACCACAGTACCATGATGCTTCTACCAATGATTTTTTAGACTCTATGTATGGGAGACACACTGTGCCTGAGATTCAAACATAGTGTACACTAGGTACGAGGGGCTATCCTAATGATGGCACTTACATGAACTTTGAAGGCCTTCTTATTCAAGAGTAAGCCAAGCCTTGAAAATTTTGATCTTTTTGAGTTTGATCACATTCATATACAGGATTCTCTCTTTAGCTCACAATTTAATATAATCTTTGAGGAAAGCCTAAAACTATCACTTTTTACCAAAATTATAAGAAAGTGTTTATATGATGATATAGACCAGGGTATTCAGAGATGAAGAGGATGCCTAAAAGAAAATATAAAGTTTGAATGGAAGGAGGAAAGAACAGAATAATTTTTAAAGTACTTCTCCCTTCTTCCACAAATAAGAAGAAACAACAGTTTTGTGGATTAAACATTAGCTTCTAGAAAAAACTCTCGGAGGAAATTATATTTACTCATTTTTTTTCCACACAAAAAAAGAATGTTTAAGAAAAACACAAAAGATTCTTTTACACTTTTTACCTGGTTGGGATTGGGACTTCAGCCAGTCCTTGAAGCAATACAGCTGGAGACAACCTGACAAATGCAACTACAGTTCGATCCAAGAACTCTAATTCCCCGACTAAGATGTTTGAAGCTTCAGCACCTGGAGGGATTTTTTTCATAAAATGTAGATCAACCTGCGAGCGTCACAAAGTAAAATAAGGTAAATCACAATTGGAAAATTTTGCTAAATTGTATGCTAGCACAATATTTCACATACAGGAATCCATCAATAAATACAGGTTAAATAAACTTTAAAATAATTAAACATGTCATTTGCCCTTTAGAAATAACTTTTTTTCTTGTGTATTCTTCTAATTTGTCATAAATAAGCAGAATACTCTAGTTTCTCTATTCAATATCTTTAAAAGAAGCTTCTTCAGTATCAGCAATCTTGAAATCTTCAGGGAGAATAAAGCATGTGCTCAAATGAATATACTTTAATCATAATTTAATTAACATTTGCAAATAGATTTAAATATTTTATGCTAAATTATCTTAATTTTGTGCACAAATAAGTAATACTAAAATATGCTAATTTCAAAAGAAACATAATCATGTTTCTCCTTACAATATAATGACCTTAGTCTTCATCTTTATTCTAGTTGTTCTGTACCTTTCACATTCTGTACTTGGCCTGATAATCCTTCATTTTAATTTCCCATCAAAGAATTTAGATTTGGCAGAGTAAAGAAAACAAGAATAAAGGTACTAAAATTTGGGATCGCTGAAGAGCCATAGGTGAATTTCTGATGTGAGATGTCTGTGATTGAAATGAATGCACGCAAAACAAAAGTGATCATTAACAAAAAGAAATGCTTAGAGTAAAAGGCGAAGTCTGAAAACCAAATGTAAACTAAGAGTAAATATCATTTTTTATGACAGGGCATCAGTGAACACCAAGCAGTGACTTTAAAGTAAATCTTACAAAGCGTTCTTCTTGTTTCTAATTTATTTGAGTTGCTTTTTATGGAAATCTGTTTATAGGTAGAATACAATTTTTATCTGCTCTAGTAAGTTGTTTTATGTTCCTGCATTTATGAAATGAGGGCCAAAGATCAAAGTGACAATAGCCAAGAGAAACAAAAGAGCTTTAGCAAATATAGGTGAGGCTAAGATCTTTTTCAGGCCAAATAGCACTTTTGCAAGTTTAATGTTTGAGAATATTTTTCCAAGAAGTTCAAAATGAAAAAAATTAAAACTTTTAGGAGTACCTTAGAAAGTCCATAGCCAGACTTTAGTGACTACATTAAATATGTTGTTTTCTGAAATTAAGACCTCAGCACAGCTATTTAGAAGGTTTATAAGTACTTAATTTTTCTGTAAGACAAGGGTGCCACAAAACACAAAACTCATTATATGCAGTATACATTTAATCATAAAAATTAAATATTAAAATAATCTGCAGTACTCTACTAAAAATATCAAATAGAACGAATGTTCTATAATAAGAACAAATATGATTTAACAATTTAAAACTGCCTATAAAATGACTATAAATTCCAAAGTTTTTAATCTATAAATACACTTTCAAATATAAATTTGTAAACTCAAAAGCATATGCAGTGGGATATTATATGATAAATATTTTCCTTTTATAGAATCTAACCTTTTAATTTATAGATACGAAGTATTTATTTACCTTGTTAGTAGGTTAAATTTCATGAGTATTATAATTTTGCATTTATTTTTCAAGCTAGGAGCTTTGCACACATTGAAAATGTTTTTAATTACTAATGCTTTACAATTTCACTATAATGCATAAATTCTCAAGAAGGGAATAAAAGAATACCCATACACTATTAGCCCAGTGAGAAAAATATAATAAATCTTCCTAAGTCTTTCAGAGCCTAAAAGAGTAAACAAGTCATGCCCTCCCCGCCACCAATGGAAATAAAAATTATAGACTATTAACACACTGGAACAAAATTTAAAATAAGAAAATACCTTTTAAATAAAATCTATAATTAATAAACAATATGAGTTATATTGATAATACCTATCATAACTTGAATGAGAAGTTTCAATTCCACCTGGAAAACTGTCTATTAAATCATTTATTGCTTGACAAATGCCATCCATAGTCTTAACTATTGAAGTCTGTGCCCAAGACAGGTGGCAATTACACAAATAACTTCTTTAAGATGCAATTTAATTAAATCGAGGAATATATAGCATGCTAAATTGTTTAATTTTATGAAAGGAAATACATGGTCCTTACACATGATTTTATTTGTGCATTACATAATACCTAATATATCATTAATTGATATTTGTTATTTAGAAAAAGCACTAAATACATAGAATTAAATTTCAGGATTAAGAAATTTATCTTTTCATTTTAAATACAATATAGTTAAATAATATATATATGGAGTAGCCATTATATTATACTCATTACAT